AGCATTCACTGAATGTTAACTGTTTTTCTCATTAAAACCAGGCAGAAAGATAAATCTAGGTAAACAGCAACAAATTTTCTGAGCTAGATAGTAAATGAACACCATCAATTTGAAAAAACTCACTGACATCTAAAAATCTTTTACCTATTGTTGCTATAAGTAACACCTAAGAGTGACTAGAATTTGAAGAGATTTTCTATCCTTTTTAGTTTGTGTATTTGACAGCAGTTTGCAGTTAGTTTCACAGTTTGTTTTTTTAATTAGTCATTTGTACTTCCTGGGCCTGATTTTTTTGCTGCAGGTGAGTTACTTTGCACTATTCTCGTGTAAAAGCAGACTTAAACCCAACATATCTTGCCAGCAAAAGATCTCTACAGCATGAGGAATCCCAACCAGCATAGTCAGCTATGTGTGGAGTTCATTGTTGCCTTTTTGCCGAGCTGTAGATTATGGGGCTTTGCAATGCATTAGTTTCTCAATAGAGGGAAATTGGTAACACAGACTCAGGGTATTTTCTCACATAAATTATTTTTAAAATGTATGCACTCTGTTTAGTTTATTGCACAGAGTTAATATTTTGCAGAAACCACAGACCTCATATGAAGAAGCAGCTTTTTGGTCAGCATCTTCACTTGAGAGCAGTTAGGCTGTTCAATTTTTGATCTTCTATTCCCTACTGTTTTTAGCTTGTCCAACGTAATAACTGTTTTAGTTAAGCCAATGCTCTGAGCCTGCCCCTGGTGGAGAGAGGTGGGAACTGGAGGAAGGGGTGTGGCTTGAAGGCCTCTGTGCTCTGGTGATCCCAAGCAAGCCTAATGGACCTTGAGACCCATTGGCATCTGGTATAATTTAGAGCAGTTCTGAGGCTGCTCTAAGATATGTCAGGGAAAAAGCAAGTGCAAGCCCAACATCAGGACTGGGGACTAGCAAATGGCCCCTTGTAGCTGCCCTGTACAGAGGTGCACAGAAAAACTAACCCTCTCTTTCACACACCAGCATGACGACATCACTGTCATGCACTGCTCTTCCCTACTGCTAGCAACAGATGCATACTAGTAACAGCAGCTGCAGAACTGAAACTGAATTGCCAGGAAGCAAGCAAGCGAATAAGGGAAGGGATAAGGGAAGAAGCAGAGGCAAAAGCCTGAGAATGTTTGGTAACGATGCTGTTGGTTTACCCAAAAGGTGCTCTTAAATCTCAGAAGGTGAACAGAAAAACATTTAAAAATTTGAGGCATTTTTAAAAGTAAACATCAGCGTTCAATTAGAAAAATGATTTTTTTTAAAATTGAAAAGAATTCAAGTAGATAGCATCCTTTTAATCTCCATGAAATGCTCTTCCTTGAAATAGTCATGGCTATTAAAAGCTAAATGCAAGGGTTGGTTGGAACATTTTCTACCACAATAGAACCTCTGAGTTACAAACACCAGAGCTACGAACTGACCAGTCAACCACACTCCTCATTTGAAACTGGAAGTACCCAATCAGGCAGCAGAGACAAAAATGTACAGTGTTAAATGTAAACTACTAAAAAATAAAGGGAAAGCAGCATTTTTCTTCTGCATAGTAAACTTTCAGAGCTGTATTAAGTCAATGTTCAGTTGTAAACTTCTGAAAGAACTACCATAACGTTTTGTTCAGAGTTAGGAACATTTCAGAGTTACGAACAACTTCCATTCCCAAGGTGTTCGTAACTCTGAGGTTCTACGGTAAATGAAATTTAATTGAAATATGACATTTTGTCAAATCCAAAATGTTTCACAGGGAAGTATCGGTTTTGTCGAAATTTTTATCCAGGAGGGTTTTTTGGGTGCTCTGTTCATTTCTGACCAGAGAAAGAGAAACAATCAAAAAGCTCAGGTTTTGGATCTGAAAAGGGACATTTCAACTCAATTCCATTTTGTGAAAACCTTTGAAAAGGTCTTGTTTTCATTCCAATGAGGAACAAAACAAAATTTGAAACCTCAAAACTTGCTGGAATTGTCGTCTCCCATGTAGCTCTACTAAATACATTAAATAGCTTTCAAAAATTCCTCACCACAGAAGGTAAGAGGAAGTAATGATTTTTGGGGGGGGGGGGGGGGGGGCGGAGATGAGATACATTAGGACCCTGGTCCTGCAAACACCTATGCATGTGAGTAACTGTATTCATGTGAACAGTGGGGCAGGGGCTACCCACAGGCATAGGTGTTTGCAGGATCAGAGCTTACGTGATGATGTTCCTTCACCCCAGACATTTCTAGATTATGAAAACTTGGTTACATTAGCCAGGTTGGCATGATGGTGCCTGGGAATTCTGTTTATCTGACAACACATTTTATAAAACAATTTTAAGACGAAAGTTTAAACCAATGGATACACACCCACAGACAGGTAGACTTAAATTGAGAACAAGAAGTGTCATATAAAATTTCACTTACCTTTGTCTCTGGTATGGCTCAACAGCACATTTTATTATTTTTGATGAATAGATAATACCTTACCAAAGCACACAACCATACCAATTTACTCTACAGGAAACAATTCCTTGTGGAAATGTAATGACTGCATTTAAGTATATGAAGCTCTCCTTAAAGAGTTCAATATTTTCTCTTGGGTGTATTTCCTTCCAGAAGTGTCTGCTACTGGGAATATTATACATCCTACTTGCCCCTTCAAAGAGACCACTAATCTGAAGAAAAGATAACTTCACTAGAAAATGCAGTGCACCTCATTCTCCTCTCCCTTGCATCTTGTGTAGCCCTTTGCAAAGTGGGTGGAAAATGTTACTATTCTGATTGGGCAGCATTTTATACCCATATTTCGTAAGTGCAAAAGACCAACAATGGGCAAGGCAAAGGAGAATCGGGCCCATTATGACAGTTTCTGAGTCCACAAAATGGAGATTAGAATATTTACCTATCTCGTGGATGCAGTGTAATGACTAATTAATTACCAAATATGTATACATTGCTTTAAATATGTAAAGCATTATATATGTTATATATGTTAGAACTAAGGGTGAAATCCTGGCCCCACTGAAGTTAATGGGAGTTTTGTCATTGACTTCATCGGGACCAGGATTTTACCCTCTGTTTCACTCATCACCTCTGATGTGTTCTGAACAACTAACCCACAATCTGTTTGTTGACCACAATTTGTTAGGCAGAAATGGAAATACATCTGTCTTTGAGCTCATGTTGTTAGACTGGGACTTAAGGTCTTGAAGTGGGGGGGAAGAATAACGGAGGCATATCAGATAAAATAAACTGCTGCTGTAGCTGCAGTGGATATAAATACGTTCTGGGATACTTCAGAGCCATATTTAACAACTACTTAGGTGGGAGATTGTAGTAGTAGTTCCTCATTTCAATGAGATATACCATCTGGCTAATAGGCTTACAAACATGGGCCCAGATCTAGCAAAAGTAGCCATGTGGGCAGGCCCTTATATCCACTTGGTTTCCCAAGGACTTCAGTAGCATTCACTATTTGACTTCACCGGCACTCCATGTTGGCAGATTCCTTTGTAGGATCAGGGCCCACAAGCTGCACATGGGGTAGGACCATTTGTTCACAATTTACCTCGCAGTACTTCAGCCAAAAGCCTGAGGTGCTGAGAACACCATTTAAGTCAATAGAAGGTGCTCAGCATCTCTCAGGATCTGGCCCTATCAAGAACTACCAACCACATGGGTTCTCTCTCTTTATACATTGTTAGGATGTAAAAAGAATTGATAAAACAGACAAGAGACATGGATGAGCTGACATTTCTACATATTATGGGCTAGATTTTCAAACAACACATTTTAAGAGACACATTCTGCCCTCAACTTCGTGTGCCTACTATACCGCTGAAAAACTCACTCCTCGGAAAAAAGTTCAAAACCTAACCATTTGCCAGTAAACGTGCCTTCTCTTTTGTCCTATACATAGGATAGAAACATATGAAATTGTAGACTAGGCAAATTTGGTAACCCTGTAATACTGTAATTACTTGGACCATGAGATCTAAATTGAATTTGGAACTCTGTCCAAGAATAAATTCTTTGTTATCTGAACAATAAATGCCAGGGGATCATACAGGATTAATAGTTTAGCTAGAATGAATTTTAATCATAGTCTTTATTTCTACTGTTTCAGCCAAACTCCCTCGGCGACTAGAACTGGTTTGTTAGGCCCAGATTGTGCCATTTAGGCACTGGCTGGAGCTGAGAGCGGTTCTGAACTGTACCACCCCATGAGAAACTCTGGGAGGTACTGTGCTTCAGAAGGTACAGCCCCACCCCCAGCTCTTCAGTACACAAGGGTGGCATCTATGATGCAGTCAGGGCCAGATTTACACCTGATGCACGCCCTCTGCCTACAGCGGACTTTAGTGTTTTCTGTAAAAAATGACACTTTTTAACCACTTATCTTTTAGGAACCCCTAGAACGCCGGCGCCCCAGGCACGTGCCTAACTGGAAATCCAACCCTGGCTGCAGTGCTTCATTGAATGGCATAGCTCACACTTCCCAGGGCATCTGCCTAGCACCTGAAGGTAGGGAAGGTCCTCTCAGCACACTCTGAGGTGATCTTCACCCCCAAAGTTACCAGCAAGGAGCACTGCCTCGAAAGCAGGGATTGCTACTGTGCTTGTCCCTTGAGCAGGATAAAGAAGGATGGTGGTGAGGAATGCTCCTTGTGTGCATCCTACCTCCTGCTCTCCCATAGCAAAGCCAGAAAAAATAGCCACTTTAGACTTTGTTAAACACATCACTTTATATTTAAGATAGTGAGCTATTTGCATACTTCTACAGATTTATTTGGAACCAGAGAAAACATCAAGAGTCATTGCAATAAGTGGCTGTGAGAATGCCCCAGAAAAAACAAACACACACAGAATGTCTTGATGAACCACACTCATTGACTTTGCTTCCCTATAAACCACACACTACCTCCATTTACCACCACAGGCCACGTGAGAATGTAAAGACCATTTCTCTTGATATTTCTGCTAAAAACATTAGTTTTCCTCACCCTTCTTCCTCCACCATGGTCCTTCCCGGATAGAATATGACAGTTCCTTAAACTCAATGTTCACAGCTGGTCTCCGGGGTAGGTAGGAGAAACGATGAGCTTCTGTTAAAGTGCTGTCCACCTTTTTTAAGTGTCCATTCAACAACCGCACATCTTGGTTATCCGTGCCACTTGAGACCACCTCATCCACTGAAACACACACTGACTTTGGCTCAGCCATAGCAGAAGAACTGTTGACATTCTAGAAAATATGAATAGGAAACAAGAAAACTTTTCAGAAACTCTTCACTGGCAACAAATTTCATCAAACTTCTTCATCTGTTCCAATAATCCCAAAAAAAAGGTGAAAGGGAACAATTCAGTGGTTTGAGTCCTGTGGCCTGTATCTAGGCAAGTGCATAAAGGAGTAGGAGGCAGCAGTGAAAAGGAGCTGTTTCCCAAAATCTAGCAAGCTTGTATGCTGCCATCCAAAGCACACACAAGACTTCCACTAGCACCAGTCACTTTTTTCTTCTTCTTGAAGACTGCACATTGAATGTAGTAAACACATGATCCATAATTCTGGAAGTAAAAGTCAGCTCAGATTACCAAATTTCCTCAGGAGGGGGCGGGGCGGGAAAAGGTGTTTTATGCATGCTCATAACTAAACTAGTGAGAAATCCAGCAATGCCTACAAAATTTCTTCAACCGTTTGACAGTAATGACATGTAATATGAACAGGATAATGTGAAAGAGGATCTAACAAAACCATAGGCACTGAAAAAATAGTGGCTGGCAGCCCAGCAGATCAGCACCTCCCTCTCCCCACCCAGCACCTTCCGCTCGCCATTGGCCCCATTGATCAACACCTACCCCTACCCGCCAGTGCCTCCCACCTGCCGCGATCAGCTGTTTGGCCGCATGCAGAAATCACTGGGGGGTGGGGGGGAAGGAGTGGGGGCAGAAAGAGGTGGGAGGAGGGGGTGGAACAGGCAGGGCAGGGGTGAGAGCTTGGGGGAAGGGATGGAGTGGAGGCAGAGCAAAGGCGGGGGGGGGGCAAAAGTCAAGCACCCCCTGGGGAACAAAGGAAGTCAGGGCCTATGAACAGAACTAAATTTGTTAACCTCAGTGACCTGTGATGAAAGGTTTAAAAAACTGGGCAAAAAACTTGAGAAAAGAATACTGAAGGGAACCTAATAAGTCTTCAAATATGTTAAGGGCTGTTTTAAAGAGGATGGTGATCAATTGTTCTCCATATCCATTGAAGCCAGGACAAGAAGTAATGGCAATAATCTGCAGCAAGGGAGAAACTTTCTAAAGACAAGGGTAGTCAAGTTTTGGAACAGGTTTCCAAGGGAGGTTGTAAAAACTTCCCGTGAGGAGATTTCCACAAACAGGTTGGACAGAGATGGTCTAGGAGGTTTGCTTGATCCTGCCTCCGAGCAGGGGGCATGGATTTGATGACTTCTCAAGGTCACTTCCAGCCCTAGATTTCTATAATTCTATCTTGCAGGGACTACTTGCTGTGAGCAAGGGCCACTCTTTGAGTAAGGATTTGCAGAATTGTAACCTACAGTAAAGTAAGTGGCAGAACCATTTGCCCTGTTCAAGAGACTGTGATCCTTATCTTGTTAATGCCAATGGGCACAGGTTCAAGTCCTACATTTATATTTGTTTTCTTTAACAAAAGGACTGTTACTAATCAATATAAATATATTTGCATATCAGTTGATAAAAGCAAACAAGCTATTTTTATAATGATACTTATTTACAACTGTGTATATCAAACCAGTGGTTTTCAAACTGTGGGTCGCGAACCAGTCCTGGGTCACAGGATGTAAGGCACTGGATCGTGGCAGCTTTGGTCAGCATTGCCGACCGGGCCATTAAAAGTCCGGTCAGTAGTGCTGCCCGGCTAAGGCAGGCTAGTCCCTACTTGTTCCGACACCGCACTGTGCCCCAGAAGCGGCCAGCAGCAGGTCCGGCTGCTAGGCGGTGGGGCCCCAGGGCGCCGCGCACTGCCCCCACCCCAAGCAACGGCTCCGCACTGGGGCAGGAGCAGCACTTGCAGGTGAGAGCCACACGGAACTTCTTGCACGCCTCCACCTAGGAGGCAGACCTGCTGCTGGCCGCTTCCGGGGCTCAACACAGTCCGTGGTGCCAGGACAGGCAGGAAGCCTGCCTCTGCACCCTCGCTGCATCGCTGACAGGAGCCGCCAGAAGTAAGTCCGTGCCCCAATCCCCTGCCTCGAGCCCCCTCCTCAAACTCAGAGCCCCTTCCTGCACCCCAAACCTCTCAGCCCCGGCCCAGCCACGGAGCCTGCACCCCCAGCCCAGAGCTCTGACTCCCTCCCACACTCCAACCCCCTTCCCCAGCTCTGAGCCCCCCCAAACCCAGAGCCCCCTCCTGCACTCCAGACCCCCATCTGCAGCCCCACCCCAGAGCCTGCTCCCCCCCCACACACACACTCCAACCCTCTGCCCCAGCCCTGAGCCCCTCCACACCCCAAACCCCTCACCCCCAGCTCTGTTGGGTCACGGGCATCAACAATTGTCTTCAACTGGGTCACCAGAAAAAAAAGTTTGAAAACCACTGTTTTAAACTGATGTATGTTTCAATTAATGTGTTTTTGTGTAACAGACAAAGACTCTGCCTGCACCTTCAACCAGATTCCTATGGTTTTATTTTCCAGTTTCTCTGTTGAAGTTTTTAATTGCTTCTGTTTCACAGCAGGCAAAACAATAAACACATTCCCATTCAATGCAGTAAAACTGACCTACATTTCTTGCACTGTGAAATGACTATCTTCTACCAACCAACTTCTCTCTAAATATCTCCCTTTTGTTAAATTCAACCATACGTACACAAAACCCATTAGATAATCAGCTAGAGAGCTTCTATGTTCCTCAGAAAATTTGGTTTGAAGTCATAGGATGCAGTTGTGCAGGACAGAGCATGCTCAGAAAACTGTCTAAGCCCCCCCTTTTTATGAGCGCAAGGCAAGAGGTAACTATCGGTCAAACCTTGCTGTGTGTCCCTGACTTCAAATCCATGATGCTATAAATGAAAAATCACTGCCTCCTGCCTAGTTCTAGCCAGCCTATCCTCTGTGAAATGGCACTAACTATGCCACAAGAATAACCCCCAGACCTTGAGATAAATTCTTTACATGAATTATTTACACAATCAAAGACCAAGGTTAACCAGCCACTCCAGTTGCTTAGAAAGCACAGGCAATTAAATTACCTAGCTATGGCATCCGTTTACGTCTGCATAAAAATCAGGTGTCCTCCTCTAGATCCCCTCTCTCACGGCACCCAGACAAAACGGTTATAAAGCTACTAACCCACCGCAGGCAGACTCACAGACAAGGAAGGCATCACAGCAACGCTTACTACACATTGGAAGCCATCGACCCGGGTTTTTTGTGGCCTGGGACACTTTTGGAGACGTCCCATGGCCCTCCTCACCCCCTCCCCAAGGCACGCAACGTTGCCTCCCGCCTTAAGAACACCTGCTGGAAGGCACCGCTGGAACTCACCGCCTGGGGATTATCCTGCCTCACCGCGCCGCTTAGGCGGGGGACGCTGCCCTCTCCCTCCTGGGCTGTCCAGGAGCAACCGGGCGGCGTGTGTACCTGGGGGAGGTTTCCTCTCTCTCAGCGTGTGCGTTTTGAAAGACGGGCCGGCTGGGGGGACGAGCAGCGGGACCCGAGGTGGGAAGCTCACCCCGCAGCGCCGACCCTGCCGGTGGGAGGACAGGCTCTGCGGGGCTCGGGCGAGCCTGGGGAGCTCTGCTCAGCCCGTCGCCCCGCCAGCCCCTCGCGCACCAAACCAGCGCCGCCCCGCCCCGGGGGAGGCTTCTCCTTACCAGAGCGGTGCCCGCCGAGAGCGCTGCCATCAGCCAGGCCATGGGCCCGGAGTCGGGCGGGGCGGGGCGCGCGCGGAGTGTGGGGGGGGGGGGGAGGTAGACTCCAGCCGCAGCCGCGGGAGAAGGTAGCGCGGCGCGAACCGCGAGGCTCGTACGAGTGGCGCCGCCTCAGCCCCGCCCCGGCAGCTAGTCCCGCCGGATTGGCTGAGCAGGGGAAGGGGGCGGGGCTGGCCTCTTGCAGGGAAACGTGCTCTTGTTTTCCTGCCTCTGGCCGGGCGGGGCGCTGCTCCACCCCCCCCCCCGCGCGCGCGCGCGCCACTGCGCGCTTTATAGCCCCGCCCCCTCCCCCAGCCTGGTCCCTGGCTGCTCTGACTCTCGCCATACCTGCGTGCAGGGCAGGGAGTGGGGGGGTAGCGCCGTGTGAAGGGTGACCCCCAGCAGCCTTGCCCCTTCTAGGTGCAGCACTAGCGGGATGCACAGAGGAAGCTTTCCACTTCCCTCTGCTCCTTGAGCCTGGACTTGGTGGCCAATGTCTAGGCAGCAAAGAAAACGAAGTTCCTTGCCTCCTGGGTTCTCATTGCTGCTATGGGCAAAGTGTATTAGTAACAAGACAGCTTAGCAAGTGGAGAGCTTTGTATTGTAACGGCATGGGAGAGCCATGATTCCATATTCTTGTGCCATGCATAGGTGTTGGAACCAGGGGTGCTGGGGTGCTGCAGTACCCCCGGCTTGAAGTGGTTTCCATCATACATAGGGTTTACAGTTTGGTTCAGTGGCTCTCGACACACCCACTGTACAAATTGTTCCAGCATCCCTGTGGCCATAGGGTATGGATGCATTATCAGTGGTTACTGGTGATAAGTTATAAAGCACTGCAACTTCTTACTACATCAGCACAAGATGCAGAGGAGTCAAGAACTGAAAAATTGATTAATCTTGATGTCACCCCTGTAAAGTAAGGAAGTAAGTTTGGCTGCGGCTGGAGACCACACAGTCAGAGGCAGGGTTGGAATCTGAGTAATTCCTGTGTGGGTGCTGATGCTGAACAGACTGTCATAGTGTGCCACAAATGCAGCTGGAAAGGTTCTGTCACCAATGCCAGGGGTTCTAAGTACCAGGGATATCAAAGGCACGTGCTGCCGAAGTCACTGCGGGGTTCTTTTTTCCTTGTTTGTTTTTTCTCAAGACAGAAAAGAAAATGCACTCAATCAAGGTGCAGTATAGATGGATATACTGGAGGGTTGGGGACTCAAAGCAAGACTAGTGGTAGTGTCAGGCAGTAGTGTGAGAGCCTGTGCATCATTTTGTGTGTGGACGTGAGATGTGTTATATTCAAGTGGGGGGTCATGCCTCAATGGTAGTTAGCACTCCGAATTTCCTGTACTCTAGTCAAAACCATAGAGAGATGTGATCTGAGAGTAGGATGGAGAGCCAAAAACTACTGAGCTCTGTCACTTACTTGTTATGCCTTGAGTAAGTTCCTAAGATTTCTTTGGCTTTTGCAGAACTGAGAATCTGTCCCAAAGCCTGGTCCAGGTAATAACCACATACTTAGTGGACCTTGTTCTCATTTGTCCTAAGGACCATTTACACTTCTTTGGAAGTGTAAGGAGGCCTTAGAGTGGGCATAAATTACTGCCAGAATGGCGTAAAGTGGCCAGTGTCAATGAGAATCAGGCCCAAAATGTCTACAAAGCATATGATAATAAAGTTCATAAACTTTTTGAAACCTTCTAACAGGGAGTCTGTCATACTGCTTACCACGTCTATAATGTGGTATGGACATAAAAGTAATCTTCACAATGATCTTGGGCGGTAGGTAAGCATTATATCCCTCTTTTAACAATAGGGAAACTGAGATGAAGAGGTGAAGTTTTACCCTAGGCAGTGGCAGAACTGGGACTAGAACATTTGAGCCTCCAGCACCTAAGCTTTTATTCTGTTTTATAGACATTGCTGGGTCTGTTTGCAGCACAAATATTGAAAAAGAAAATGAGTGCCTACTGTGGTGTGGGGTACCAACTAAACCGTTTGCGTATCAAAAAGTGTTAATTACAAACCTGAACCATGCTGGAAGAATGATTTCAAAATTGATTCTTCCCTACTGTTCAAAATCAGCTGTCAAGCACTGTTCTGGTTATGTTAAAAGGTTTTAGCTAGCTTGGTTTTGTGAACCATTGTTGACAGAACTTAATATTTGTTTAGACTAGATTCTTCACTTCCCCTTAAAATATTTGCTTTTGAGATAGCCTTCCCTCCTTCCTTTCAAAATCTGAAAAGCATTGTGTTGTGTGTCAGTTTTTGATGTAGAGCATATGTTTAGGAGTTATGTGGTCAGATGGCCTCCTTAAGTAAGCTAACTGTAAAGTAAAACAGATGGGGGGGAAAGAGTAGAGATATTACTGAAGAAGGAGTGTAGCTGCTAGTAGTTTGAGATATGTGCAATACCCACCCATCCAATGCCTGTTACTTCTGCTAATTCTCAACTTTTTGGAATCTAAATGTGGAGTAAAACCCCAAAATGAAGGACACAAGAAAATAACCAGTCCGGAAAGTTAAATTCATAGTGCTGAAATTTTTGATATAAGCAACAGTCTCAACTCAGGCTGTAAGTAATTTATCAAAGTAAAGCCTGGACTGTGCCTTTTAGGGAACTGTCTTACATTGGAAGCTATGCAGAGCTGCTTTGCCCCATTAGGAGCTCCCAGTGCTCCTAGCTGGCTTGGATGGGTCATAATTAACACAGATAAGATAAAACAGCAGAATCAAGCATTAAAATGAAGGACCTCCCTTGTAAAATGGGACAGCTGGGAGGTATGATCTTCTCATCACCCATATTCCCTGTCATCTTGTGTGCCAGGAATGTTGTCATTCATATGATGCGTGACATAGCAAGTGTAAAAATACCCACATATTGTGTAAGAAATATCTTTAAACAATTAATGGCTGGATTCTGACGTCTTTAACCAAGCAACACTCCTGTTAACTTCCACAGGAATTTTGCCTGAGCACGGAGTGCCGGATCAGATCCTACAGATTTATTTTCTCACACAGCCACTGATATATCAGTATCTAACTCAACTTCTTGTAAAGCACTTTGATGTGAAAGATCCTGTGTGAAACCAAATTCTAGCTGATTGGTATCTCAGAGGAAAAATGACATTACATAACTTGGAAGAGTATGTTAACTAAAAATAGCAAAGTGCCCTGGGTTCTTTCACATTCCTTCATTAATTCTTCCATTAACTGCACAGGTGGTCCCCAAATCCCTGCACAGACTGAGATAAAGAGCACAAGCCCAGGAAGAAGAAAAATTAAGATATGGAAGGGTGTTAAAAAACCAGGACAAAACAAACTACAAAAGCAGGTGAGTACTAGGAGTCAGGAACAAAAATCCTGAATCCAAAAATAGTTCTTCTTCACCTGTTCTGTTCTAACAGCTTCCAGGTTGCTGCTGCATAAGACCCACAGAACAATAAAAACAACACAGGAAGGATAAAGATGTATCCTACTGATGAAGGAAGCGAGAATGGGAGAAAGCAGACAAGGGGCAGGGGTAAGGGAGAAGCTTAAGACAGGAGGGAGAGAGATGCAATGGTAAGGAAGAAGGAAGAGTGTGGTTTAGGATTAGAAGGTTGTGAGGGACAAGGAAGAAAGAGAAAATGAGGAAAGAAAAAGACATTATAAAGACATGAAAAAAGTGGGAGGAGCAATACATATGTTAAAAAAGTGCAGAGAAGAGGATGAGAGAGTACTTAGGTCATAGTACATATGAGTTGCTGAGTACCCCCAATTCTCAACAACTGGCTCTTAATAGATGGATTGAAAAAAGGGGAAAGGCATAGAAAAGCAAAGGAGAATTTAAAAAATCCCACAATCTCCCTGAAAGAAGGAAGAAAAAATGTGATCATAACTAAAGTATCACTGTGCTTCCTATACGAGCCCTGATATGAAAACACTTGAAAAATGTTTTTCCTGAACTTTTCTTTCAGGTAACAAATATGTAGCTCACTACAAATGAAAGCCCGATAAGAAGTGGAAAAGTAGTTTTCAGCCATTGACTCACATTAGAATAACTTCCCCACCCAACATTTACATGTAGTGGGGGTTCTTAAGCCTCTCTACTCCCCTGCCTCTTATCTGGCTCCCAGAAACACATCTTACCATCATCACCTCCCGTTGAATTTATCTGGTCATATAATGAACCCATATAAAGCAGACCAATAAAACTTCCATGAGGGAGGGGAGATTGTCGTGCTCCTCTCTTACAAGGGCCAAGAACTACAGCTGGTCAGGAGCTTGCTGACTAAACATTTTTGCATCAGAACTTGCTGATTTGTCAAAAATGAAACCGTTCAGGGGAAAAGGTCAGTTTTGATGAATCTCCCGATTCAACATTTGCTAAAGCAAAAGTTCCAGTTTCCAGTTTGAAATTACTTTTTGTTTCAAAATTTTAGTTCATTTAGACTTTGAAAAGGTCAAAAAAAATTGAAAACTCAAAATCAAAACAAAACGTTTTGAAATGATTGAAAAAACAATTTCAGATATATTAAAATGAAACATTTTGATAGACCCAGTGTAAAAACAATGTCAGATTACAGGTTTGCAACAGTTTTCATGATTTCAATTTTTCACCCCAGCTTGGGACACTGAAAAAATTTCAAAAATCTTGAAAACTCTAGCAGAATGGAAAACCATTTCCCACCCAGCTCGTCCTTTTTCTTACCTTTGTTCAGTGTTCTTTCCTGCAACATCCATTGTCAGGCCAGCCCTGGTAGCTAGAGCAAGAAGTTGACTTGTATGACTACATGGCCATTAGCCATTATGGCAGGCTTCAGCTACAAAACAAAAACAATATTTAAACACGTATAACTTCTTTCATAGTCCCAGGTTTTGTATAGCACATAGAGGCTTCCATGACTGGATGCCTTTTGTTCCATCTGGTGGCTGAGTGAGGCTCAGAGATCTGGACCCCCTCTG